ATACGCTGAAGTCAGGCACGCCACTCTACAGGAGGAGTATTCAAGGTCAGTCCAGAAATAGTCTAGGGACGATTTGTCTTGGCTCTGTTGGGCCATGTTTTGACTGTGTTTCACGGCTCTTCCAGGAATCGCCTGCAGGAGGACCTGCCCGACCGAATGCTACGCCCAGACCTCCGACGGTTCGCGAGATTTGCTTGGAGTTGTTTTGGGGGGTTGGAGTCTGGGAGCTTTCGGGGGCTTTCGGAGGTTTCGGGGCTTAGCTGCCTCGATACGCCCGTTCAGATTCGCAGCACGTGCCGTGCGCAAAACGTCCGTGTCGATACGTGGCGTGCTCGTTCCACGTATCGGCCCACGCTTTGGAGAACGCATGGCGTCATAACTACGTTTGCAGTCTGCGTGTGTGTGTGTGTTGCGTGTTGCGTATCTGGGCAGCTCGGTTTCGGTGATGTTCTGGAGGTTTCCGGATCACGGGGTGCTTTCCACCAGCCGCGCCCCGTCGAGGGCGCTCCGGGGGTCTCCTGCATCCTCCTGCATAACCCGAATAGCAAACCTCCCACGAAGTGTACACGCCGGTCGCTGAAAGTAGGTATTTCGAGATTCCCAGACCCCGATCTGCCTTGTCCGCCTTCCTGCTTCAAGAGTTGAGCGGCTTTCCCTCTTCCCTCCGCTTCAGGGGACGGGCGAAAGCCCAATCTACTCCAAGCGCCTTCCTACTTCATGTTTCTACCCACTTCTTCCGACCGACGAGTGCTGGTTTTCATTCCGGGCGTTCCGCCTCGCTTTCGGTTTCCTGATCGCGTTGTCGGGCCCCATCGAGAGCGGATCACGGGCGCAGCATTGCCCCCGGGAAGGGGTCGGGAGCTTCAGGGGACTGGGGCTCGATAAAGTCATGTCGGCGGATGTCTGGGCATGTCGTGCGTGGCTGGTTCGCCCTCCGCGGTGGCCCGCCCTGGGCCGCAGTCGTTCCATCCCGGTCGCTGTCGCCCTGTTCTGCCTGCCACTCGCCCTCGCAAGTCGCGTCCCAGGCGGGTCTAAAGATGTGGACAAGCTCTGGTTGGAGGTATGGATCTGAGCAGGGGCATGGCGGAGTACGAGCGCGAAGAGCAGCATGCAGAGGAGGAGAAGGAGGATAATCCTTGACGAGGAATGGCGCAGCGATGTGGAGGGATCGGGAACGAAGAGTTTGGGAGGATACAAAGGAGAGAGGGGAGACGGGGAGGGGGAGCAGGAGGAGGAGGAGGAGGAGGATACTGTAAGACAAGGATGTTGCAGAGGAGGTGGGTGATGAGCAGGATGGGGGGAATGGAGAGCGGCGCGCGAGCGAGCCAGACCCGTAAAGTGCAGGACAGGGCAGAGCAAACGACATCTTGCATTAAGTCGGGCCTGTCCCTCTACAGGAGGAAAATTCAAAAATCGCAAAAAAAAGTCTGGGGACAAAATGTTCTGACTATGTTTTATGTATCGTCCAAAATCCGCCTGTATGGGGACATGCCCGACCTAATCTTACACGTCTTCATCATTGTATGGTCCCTCCTCTTCTTTCTCTGTTTTTTCGTTGTGAGGTATCGTCCGTATCTCTCTCGGTTGCCCCATCCTCCTCCTCCTCCTCCTCCTCCTCCTCCTCCTCCTCCTCCTCCTCCTCCTCCTCCTCCCCCTCCTCCTCCTCCTCCTCCTCCTCCCCCTCCCCCTCCAAACATGAGCGCCCACGACGTGGGAAGCAGTGTGGCCAGCCAGGCAGAAGAATTTGGATGGGCCCCTGTCGTCGTCGGATCCTGGGACTCGCCCTTCGGGTCTCCCCACCTCCTCCTCCTCCTCTGCATGTTCCTTCTCCTCCCCTGCCTTTTCTCCCCCTGGGCCCCCCATATGCTGATCCCTTTCCTTTTTCGCCCGCCGCTGTTCGTGCTGCTGCACCCCCTGTTCCTCGTCCTCGACCTCGTCCCTCAGCGCAAGACCTTCTGCGCAACAAAATCAGCAGCACACCGAACTGAACGGAGCCAGTCAAGCGAACCGCTCGCGGGTCAGAGCGAGACCGTCTCGCGCACGAGCGGCAACCGACACCCACGCCTCTGGCGGGAGGCGCTCGTGCCTCCTTCCTCCCTCCTTCCCCCCTCCTGCCTCCCTCCTCCCTCCTCCTCCCTCCTTCGTCCTGCTCCCTTCCTCCCTCCTTCCTGCCTGCTTCCTCCCTCCTCCCTGCTTCCTCCCTCCTTCCTGCCTCCCCCCATCACTCCCTTCCATGTTGCCGTGTTGCCACCGATAGAGGAGAGTCCTCGTACTCCGAGGGCCTGGCGGCAACTTGGCAGTTTAGCTTGTAATATCCGGGGGGGGCCCATACCGACCTCGCACACGCCTCTTCCCGAGGAAGAGGAAGAGGAGAATGAGGGAGGTGGAGGAGGGGGAGGGGCAGGAGTAGGGGGAGGAGGGAGGAGGAGGAGGGGGAGGGGCAGGAGTATGACGAGGAGGGAGGAGGAGGAGGAGGAGGAGGAGGAGGAGGAGGGCGGAGGAGGAGGATGAGGAGGAGGAGGAGGAGGAGGAGGAGGAGGAAGTGGAGGAGGAGGAGGAAGAGGACGGAGGAGGAGGAGGACGAGGAGGAAGAGGACGGAGGAGGAGGAGGAGGAGGAGCAGGGGGGGGAGGGGGACGGAGCAGGATGAGGGGGAGGGGGAGGAGCAGGAGGAGGGGGAGGAGGGGCGGCCAGAGATGATGGCCGACGCGGGAGCCAATGTGGCAGCTTCCTGCTTCTCGTCCTCCTCCACCTCCCCTCCCCTCACCCTGCTCCGTCCCTCCTCCTCCTCCTCCTCATTCTCCCCCCCCTCCTTCCTCTTCCTCCTCCTCCTCCCCCTCCTCCTCCTCCTCCCTCCTCCTCCTCCTCCTCCTTTTTGCCACTGCGACTGTGGCGATCATGACACTCATGACACTCCTCCTCCCTCCTCCCTCCTCCTCCTCTCCTCCTCCTCCTCCTCCTCCTCCTCCCCCTCCCCCTCCCCCTCCCCCTCCTCCTCCCCCTCCGCCCCATCTGCAGGCGGGCGGCTCGAAGGCGGGCGTGGCCGCCGAGGAGCTGGACCTCCGCGCCTACCTGGCGAGGCTGGCCCGGCAGCGCGAGAGCCTGGCGCTGCGGGAGCTTTGCGGGCGCCAGGCAAGTGGGAGAAAGCCACCGAGAGCAAAGGGCCCATCGAAAAAGCCATCGAACGCCATCGAGAAAGCCACCTGGAAAGCCATCGAGAAAGTCATCGAGAGGAAGCCATCGAGAAAGCCTTCAAATGCCATCGAACTGTAGCCTCACTGTAGCCTCACTTGGGCCCCCCGCCTCTGCACTAGGGAGAATCATCGAAGAAGAAAAAGAAGAAAGCGCCATAAACATTAAGTTTTGGCGCTCCGCACGGAGTCCTTTGATCCGCGCTGGGGCCCCCGGGCGGCGCCGACGCGATCCGCGCGCCGGGTAGGGGGGGCCCAGCGCAGATCCAAGAAGTCTGCGCGGATTGCCAAATGTTTAATGTTTATGGCGTGTTTTCTTTGTCTGGCAAAGTCATCGAGAGTAACGAGGTGGGCCCTATAGCACGATGAAGGCGTGGCCTCACTTGTGTCCCCGTGTCTGCACTCAGGATAATCCGTCTGGGCGGCCTGGTTGGATAACATCTGCAAAAGCACAAATACACACCCTGTCCCTCATGTTCTGGGCCTCTTGGTTTAGATTCCTTCCCGAAGGACTAGGGGTCTCTTGCGGCGAATCATAAAAAAAGGGCAGGCGCCCAGCACTTGTCACCATCCGCAGCGCGCCCCTTGGCACAGAGAGCTGGAGAAAGAGGAGGAGCAGGAGGAGGAGGAGGAGGGAGGGAGTAGGAGGAGGAGGAGGAGGAGGAGCAGCAGGAGGAGGAGGAGGAGGGAGGGAGGAGGAGGAGGAGGATCTACTGCGCAGGCGCCCGGTACATCCTGGCGTCGCGAGCCAGCAAAACGTGCGACGGCCCTTGTTTTCGCAGACTCGGCGACCGGGGGACGACGCTGTCCAAACCCATCGTGTACAGCATCAGCCGTCCCGGGGCCCAGGCCTTGGACACAGAATCCGGGGCCGGGCCGGGAGTCCGTACATCCGTGAAGGTGTGGGCCCCGAACTGTGCTGGTGGAGGCTCTGTGGCGGCATCCGCCCCAGGCCTCCAACGCCCAACGATCGGGCAGTCCCAGGGAGGAGGAGGAGGAGGAGGAAGAAGAGGAGTAAGAGCAGGAGGAGGAGGAGGAGGAGGACAAAGGGGGGAAAGAGGAGGAAGAGGGGGGAAAGGAGAGGAGGCAGATTAGGGGGAAGGCAGCTTTAGGTTTTCGTTGTCCTCCGCGTCCTAACGCCGCACTCGGGCTCCACGCCGTCAATTTTTCGGCGCAGAGATCCTCTGATGTGGATCGCGTATCTTTGTTTCTGGCGGGTTAATCTCAGTGGGCCTCTGAGCATTAGCGGATCTGAGTTGCTGACTGCAGGCATGGCCGAGCGTAATAGTGTTTGAGTCTGAGTGGGCCTCCCCGCAGCGGCTCCCCCTTGGGAGACTCAAGTGCCATGCCTGCTTCGTCGCAGTGGCCATTCTGCCGTGAAGCCAGAGGCGTCTGCTCCCTCAAACGGGCGCTTTGCCCAAGACACCCCCCCGCAATCTGGGCGCCACCTGGCCCGTGACACAGCCTCTGGCGGCTGCCCCTTGGGAAGCTCAAGCGCATGCCGCCTGCATCGCGGTGATCCTGGGGCGTCCAAGAGAGAGGACCCTGAGGCGCCCAAAGCAGGCGTTTCGATCCCGCGAACGGGCCCGTGCCATACTCCCACTGACAGGCTCAATTGTCATGTCTGGCCTACTACATCGCGGTGATCCAGGGGCTCTCAAGAGAGGGGAATCAGAGGTTCCCAGACGGGCGCTTCGCTTGAGACGTCCTCGCAGCATGTGGGCCCCGTGCAAAACCGCATGGAGGTCATGCCGCCTGCCTGCATCGTATTGATCATATCTGAGTATGAGCGGCGAGGCTGAGTGTGAGTGAGCCTGATTGTGCGCGAGTCTGAGCGTGAGTGCGTCTGAGCGTGAGCGAATTTGATGATGAAGTTGTTTGTGATTGTCCCTAAGTCTGAGTAGGCTTCACGTGTGAGTTTGAGTGTGAATGGTCTGAGTGCAAGCGAGTCTGAGTGTGAGGGAGTCTGAGCGTGAATGATTATGAATACGTAGCACCCCGCAGATGCGGATAAGAGTGAGGGAGCGGTGGGGACGTCGGCAATCTGCGAGACTCTGGAGAAGCTCGCCGCAGGCGCCAACATTTCACACATTATACAACGAGCCCGCCGCATGCACCGATTTTTTCTTCAAACCAATGTGGATCGGTCGCGGATGGGTCGCGGGTGGGTCGCGGAATGGGTCGCGGGTGGCTGGCAAGTGGGTCGCGGGTGGGTCGCGGATGTGTCGCGGGGTGGGTCGCGGGACGGTCGCGGTGTGGATCGCGGGTGGGTCGCGGGGTGGGTCGCGGGTGTGTCGCAGGGTGGGTCGTGGGTGGGGCGCGGGTTGGGTCGTTGGTGGGTCGCAGGGTGGGTCGCGGGGTGGGTCGCGGGTGGGTCGCGGGGGGGACGGCGACAACAACAACACCACCACCACCACCACCAACAACAACAACAACAACAAACAACATCACCACCAACAACAACAACAATCAGTTTAAGATTGTTCGCCCTTATCTGCTCGAGTGTCCAATAATGCGTATTTCCCAAACCATCGATACCCGCCCTCTTCGTCTTCGATCGAACCCCTTTTGGGGGGTATACTTTTCTTCCCTGCAGGCTGGGACCTGGCAAACGGCGGGGCGGCCGTGGACTGTCGGCCTGGCCAGCAATAGCGCTGATCGGCGGGGCGGCCGCGGACCGTCGACCCGACCCCAAGAGGGACGGACAGGGGACCGACCAGGACGACGACGACGACGGCGACGACGACGACGACGACGAGCGAAAGCGAGAGCGAGAGAGAACGACAGCAGGGCCACAAGGACACGAAGTAGGCCACGAAGGGCGACAGCGGGGACACGAAGGGAATACGTCAGGGGCCACGAAGAGCGCGAACGGGCGGGGGCAACGAAGGGCAGATAATGCGGGGCCACAGAAGGCAGCGAGGGGGCCACTGATGGTAGCAACTGGGCCACGTAGGACAGTGAGGGGGCCACGAACGGCGACAGCGGGGCCACGAAGGGCATGCACATGGGGCCACAAGGGGCGCGAACGAGCGGGGGCCACGACGAGCATGCGTATACTGGGCCGCGGGGGGCAAGGACGGGGCCAGTGAGGGCAGCAACGGGGCCACGAAGGGCAGCGAGGGGGCCACGAAGGGCGACAGCGGCGCCACGAAGGGCATGCATATGGGGCCACCACGGGCGCGAACGAGCGGGGGTCACGAAGGGCATACATATATGGGGCCACGAAGGGCAGCGATAGGGGGCCACGAAGGGATGCAACAACGGGGCCACGAAGGGCAGCGAGGGGGCCACGAAGGGCTGCAACGGGGCCACGAAGGGCAGCGAGGAGGCCACGAGGGGCTGCCACGGTGCCACGAAGGGCAGCGAGTGGGCCACGAAGGGCTGCAACGGGGCCACGAAGGGCAGCGAGATCCTGATTCCTATGTAATTTGTGAGGGAGTCCTAAGCGTGAGCGCGACTCCTGGGTGCCTGGGTGTCGGGGGCGCGGCGCTTGAGTAAATTGCAGGAGGTTCCAACGCAAGGCCGTTATTCTTCATTAAGTTGCAAGCAAGTCTCCAGCGAGAGCGCGGCTCCAGAGCGCCTGGAGAGCGATTCCTGAACATATTATCAGGAAGTCCCACGCGAGAGCGCGATTCCTGAATCACATGCGAGGAAGTCTCAGGCGGGAGCGGGGGTCCTGGCTTAATTGTGAGGAAGTCTTAGGCGGGAGCCGCTGTTGTTGTCACTCGGGGGCCAGGGGCCCAGTTTGAACTGCAAGATTCTCCCTGATTAGAAAAACAGAGTGCGAGCGTCGAGGGGCACACTTTGATTGAGAATTGAGGAAAACAGTATGCACCGGTGGGGGGATCAACAATAACTAAACAACAGCAACAACAACAACTGCTACAACTACAACTACAACTACAACTACAACTACAACTACACCTACAACTACAAGTACAACAACAGCGACGCAACAAGCACATAATCGTCACCACGGATTTCCACTTCAACCACGCACCCAGGAACAATGAATGATCATTCGGCCCCCTCACTCTGATGAGTGTGCGTGGGCCAGGGTACGAATGATTATCTGTATGAGTGAGTCTGAGCGTGAACGAGTCTTAGTGTGGGCGAGTCTGGTCGTGAGAGAATCTGGATGTTAGGAGAGAGCCGGGAGCGGGGTGAGGAGGCGGAGGCGTAGCACTGAGACCAAGATCCCATGTTTATTGCCCCCGTTTGGTGTGAAGGGATATGTGGGCCGCGTACTTACGAATACAGGAAGCACATCGGATCTCTTGGGTTTTACGCCTCCCTACCAGGCGAGG